TTTTCTAAGTTTTTATAAGTTTTGTATATAAAATTTTTAACACCAATTTTTTCACATTAAAGTTAATATTAAGGTTAAAATTAAGGTTTGGGAAGGGTTTTTGAGGACGTAGAATATTTTTTACTTAGAATACCTCATATCGATTAATTAGCCAGTTTTTAAGATAATGTATATATAAATGTAAAACACTATAGATGCATTTTAGTAAAATTCAAATTTTTTATATTTTTATTTTTATAAAAAATAGTATTTGTTAATTTATAAACTTTAATAAGTAAATTTGTTTGCTTAAATACTATAAAATTAGCTCTGATTTAGAGCAATATTATTTATTATCTGATTATTTTTTATCAGAAGCTTACCTTCTTTTTTTCATCTCTTAATATAAAAAAAATCAGGTTCTTATATATAATTTTAACTTTTTTTAACTCTCTTCCCCCTAAAAAATTACCTGATTTTTGTCACATCCTTATTGTTTTAATATTTAAAATAGGAAATTGTTATTTATACTCCTAAATTTATTATTTATACCTCTATTAAAAATAAAAATTTTAAAACTTTGAGTAATGATATTTTGACAACCACTTGATCAAATTTGATAAACTTTTTTTTATTTGAATTCTATGAATTCATAGAATTCAAATAAAAAAAAAGTTCATCGAAATTGGTCAGGTGGTTGTCAAGATATCGTCACTCAAAGTTTTAAAAAATTCTTTATTTTGATAGACGTTTTGATTTTTCTCGAAGATACCTTAACAATCACCTGATCAAATTCGATAAACTTTTTTTTATTTAAATTTTATGAATCCATAGAATTCAAATAAAAAAAAGTTCATCGAATTTGGTCAAGTGATCGTCAGGATATCATCACTCAAAGTTTTAAAAATTTTGTTTTTAATAGGGGGTATGAATAACAAATTTAGGAGGTATGAATAACAATTATATAATATATATTTTCTTATTTTGGTAATTATTATTTTTATAAAATTTCTTAAAATTAAAATTAATCAATAAATAAACTTGACTAAACATTTTATTATTATTTTCTTTCTTTTTTTTAGTACGTACTACTTTCGGGGGTCAAATATAATAGTAAATCCCTACTATAAATCAATTGATTAATAATCAATTTTGTTAATGGGGTCCCTATACTATATTTGTCCCTTTCGGGCTCTAATTTAAGATTAAAAATAAACTATATATTCCAAAAACAAAGACTAGTTATATTTTTAGTACTGTAATATAATTCATGGTTCCTCTTTTGGCACAATCATTTCTCTGTATTGTTTGATAGAATCTCCTTCAAACTTCCTAACTTTTCCAGATTCACAAACCCAAATTTCTGTACAAACTGAATCAATGAATCGTTCATCATGAGAAACGAGGATAACACCACCTTTAAACCCTTTTAGAGCATTTGTCAAGGCATCGATTGAATCCATATCGAGGTGGTTGGTTGGCTGCATTTTAGAATATCCAATTATATTAGTGATGTCAAAGAAGGCTAGATAAAAACTTCTAAATGCTTACTTCATCCAATATTAAGATGTGTGGATGTTGTAAACCCAAACAAGCGAAGGAAACTCTGCTTTTTTGGCCACCGGACAAAGTCTTCAATGATTGTAGGCCAGTCATTCCTGTAATGCCAAAATTTCCTAATTGACGTCGATATTCCTCTTCGATTTTCCCTGGAAATTTCTGTGCCATAAAAGCTACTGCGTTCATATCAAGAATCAGTTGATCCACATGATGTTGCATGAAATGTGCAAATCTGAGACGCCCATGTCGGTGCATCAGGCCAGAACGCGGCTCTAATGCCCCGGTTAAAAGTTTGAGTAGAGTAGATTTACCTACAAATCCATTTAAAATAATTGTAATATATTCCATCATTAAATTAATCATTATATACTAGGTAAATGGAAACCATTTTAAGTCCGAAGAACAAACACGGATCATCCCGACAAACGGCTATTTTCGGAATACAATGTTATTTTGATCTGATCAACCAATCAAACCCGAAATTTGCGCACATACAGACATTAGGGTGACTACGCCTCTACCGTAATGACCTTCGGACAATGATTTATCAATAAATTACAAAAAAAAAGCCTTACCCGCTCCATTTGGACCGACTACAGCTATACGTGAATCTAACTGAACAGAAAGGCTGACGTTCGAAAGGATTATAGGACCATTTGGATATCCAAAACTGACATCATCCAATTGAAGGATAGGCGGACTTAGAGCATCAGGATCAGGAAACCTATTAAAAAGAATTAATGATAGCATAATATCGTGTATATATTGTGATGATGAAAACATTCATACGATAACCTTACTTGAAAGTGACACCAACTTCGACTTCCGGAGGTTCCAATACAGGGAGTTTCTCCAATATCTTAATTTTGCTTTGAGCTTGTGGTCCTCTCTTAGCATTATATCGCCAGCGGTCAATAAAGTCTTGTAAATGATGCCTATATTGCATCTGGCTTTCATATTCACGTAGATGATTTTTGCGGCGTTCTTCTTTTGTAGCATAGAATTGTGTAAAATTACCCTTGTAATGATCGAGACGTTCGGAATGTTGATGCAAAATATCAGTTGCTACTTCGTCCAGGAATTCTATCACAATAAAAATAAAATTGTTTAACTAATCAAATTTGTTAAAGGAAATCGATAGATAATTAGTATAAGTTTGTCTTGATATTATACCTCGATCGTGAGAAACAACAAGTAATGTGCTCGGCCATTTTTTGAGGTATTGTTCTAGCCATGCGACAGCAGGAATCTTTGTAAAAATCGCGCATGGGATGTTAAAAACCATCTACGCGATGTTGCTGTAACTTCGATTACTCCATCACAAACGTTTATCTTACATCTAACATATTAGTCGGTTCGTCTAACAACAACAAATCAGGTCGGCAAAACAACGCCCTTGCTAGTGCGAGACGCATTCTCCAACCACCGGAAAAAAATTTTGTTGGGTTTCGATGTTTATCTGCCGGAAAACCCAATCCAGATAAAATGGCAGCGGCACTTAAATTATAAATAAATCGGTTCGATCATTATGTAAACAAATACGTAACAAACGAAATAACTTTGAGATAAATAATTGAGTTTACCGTGATTCAGCCTTATCACTCTCAATTTCTTCTAGTTTTTGATATATTTCTTTTAATCTTGTATTGGCAGCATCTTTTTTTTGTTCAAGAGTGACTTCGTCAAATTCTTCAAGATTTTGCTCTAATTTACTAATTTGTAAGTTCAATGATTTCTCTTCACTTAACAAATGTTCTCTCCATATATCAGCGCTTAATACAGCTTGAATCGCAAGTGTATCATCACCTTCCATCTGTAGTGAGAACCAAAATTGAAAAATGAATAATGAAAATATTTATAAAGATAAATGCACGAATATACCTCTTGCTCCACATGTAAAATGCTGATGTGTGTTGGCACACT